CTACTATTTACATCTAAACTATCCCGTTTTTGTTTAGGAAGTTGGGTATGCAGTCCTTATGTCACGGTGCGTCATTGGTCGGTATTTCAAAGCTAATTGAAGAAATGTGTTAGTCAGACCAAATCAATCGCCTCACAGAGTTGGAAAATAATCAAAATGGTATTTCATTCTTTTCAGAACAGTAGCACGGAAGAAGCAGAGTAAACCGTATCCGTAGATAGCAACCGAATAGCGTCAGAGATTACTATTCACGGCCTCAACATTAAATACAAATCAATTGACTGATAAAGTGAATTAAATCGGATAATTGTTTGGCAGCTGATAGAAATATTGCCACAGCGAACTCGAAGACTTCGTATTGGCAAACATCCAGTGAAGCCAGGGTTAGAATGGTTCCTGTCAATACTGGCACACGACAAGATTTACCGTGGAATATAAACCTATGAGATTAACCTACAAAAGGAGTGTATGTACACATGGCATCAACATTATTACCGGTACTTCGTCAGAACCCGAGAAATTCTTTTTGCCGTTGAACGCATGTCATAAAAAGACTTCCACTTCATACATGGACCAGAAGATTCATTTACGTTTAATTCATGGCGCAGTATACATCGGGCTTTGTTTGAACCTATAGCAACGACATCGAAATCGGGCATTTATTTGTCACCCATCTTACGCGGTCTAAAGGACAAAAGGCAGCTCTCTTAGGTGAAATCCATATTGTATCTATTTCATATTTCATATTTCATGATGGACTATAGATATCTTTACTCCGCCGAAGCCAAGTAATTATACTAAAGCGTCAGCATGACATCCCCACGGACAGAGACCAGCACGTCTGAAGTTGGAATCAAGAAGAAACCCATCAGCATGTCTACGTATCAGTTCGAACCTCCTCCTCTGTATAGGGCGTCCAACTTCCTACCAACCCCGACTATGGTGAACTTTTGGAAACGTTCCCCGGCAAATATTAACAATCGTCTCGAGGAGGCAGATCTGAAATTGCCAAAGATATGGAAATCCATCACTAATAAACAACAAATGAAAGAATCGAATATACAACAAAGGAATGTAGAGCCGTATGCGCCTCTTCCTGCAGGTGCTCATTTCAATCATTCCGTTGCCATTCCGAATGCGTTACCAAGGAACAAAAATGATATCGAAAGGCTCAGGAAAAACTTAGTGAACAGGCATTTGATGCAAATGAAAAGTACCCTACACCACCGACGAAATAAAGACTGTAGTATGGACGGTTTGACAGACAGTGGAAACAGAAAAGTCCACTTTCACAATAAGGTTTTAGTCCATGATGAAATTGGAGAAATCCAAGCTGACGTTGACGACGATGGCAAAGTTCTTACTCTAACAGTTGAACATGTGGCAACTATTGCAGAGAATGAGTCTGAAACTACAAAAACTACTGCCTTAGAGATTCCAAAGATCGTTTCCCCGGGATTAAGCCCCAGGGTCAGCCCCGGGACCAGCCCTCGGGTCAGTCCATTTGACCCTCTTCGCAACGACGGTGGTAAAACTCCCAGAGTAGCCGAATCCAATAAGCAGTGGAAGCAAGAAAATTCAATATCGAAAAACAATTACCTGGATAACCAGAAACTTGTCCAGATCTTTAATTGGTTAAAAGATATTGATGAATTAAAAGAATGTGGTGAATTGTATGACCCCTATGATGAGACAGCCGATGAGCTGCCTCCATGTACAGGGGCTGCTGACGCTCGGGACAATTACGTGAACCTGTTTCGGTGAAACTTTATGATAAAGATATATAAAACCATGAATATTCGGTATAATTTGCCATATAGAAATCTATGTGAATTGTGTAAATCTATGTGTTACCATTTTCATTATCGTCATAATAATTATTGCTATTATCATTATTATTACCATAACCGGCAATTTGACTGACCATCTTTACTCAATTGAAATGTACATGTAGGCCTATTGCTCTTGTAATGGCTTGAACGCAAATCGCACATGCATGTCTACCTCACTTTCCTCACGTTTAACCGTTACTAGTCTATACAAGAATTACAAACAAGACTTGTCATCCTTATTCCATTATTGCTTAAATCGGTTATCAGGCCTAGCCTTGTCCTCTATTATCATTTGATATTAGTTATATTGTGTGTCTGTGTGAAGTGTGCATTCTCACTTGTGACTATACGTCCGCGTTGTTATATTTTTATTTGAGCATCACTTTTCCAATTTATTGAATAAACATTAAATACATTTGATATTTGACGTTAATTGGCCCATTGAAAACGTTATCATGTGCTTTATTTTTGTATGGGTAGATTATATTTTAGGGTAGGTAGGGTAAATAATAACTATTTTGGAAAATGCTATAGGAACAGATATTTTTTAATGAAGAATGGGTGAAAAATCCATTTAAGTTCAGTAAACCCATTTTGGAAAGGCAGAGCAAACTTATGTAACTTTGAACAGAGTAAATCTCAAATGTCTTCATTAACGTGTTTTCTAAGGCAGATTTCACTACGTTTTGTCAATAATTCTTATCTATAGGTTTGTAAAAAGACGATTTTCAAAATTTGCTGACAAAACTTTAATAATGGACAATTTAAGGTGCAATAAAACATAGGGGCAGTTTGTTGGAGTTAAGCATCCGTGGGATACGATGTACCCTAATATTAGCTTATACCAAGTAAAACATTGGTTTGTTTCACAAGATTTGTTCGAGACACGATAATTTGAGATGCATGTATATGAAGATTAGTTATGCGGAGTCTACTTTATTCTAGTATATACATGTATACCATATAAAAAATGAAATATTACTTCCATTTGGTTGATTTATTGGATTTTCCAATCGGAAGAGTCACCTTCAATACGTCAAATGTAAAAGAAGATATCCAAAGAATGACGAGAAAATGTTCACTGTTCTAACTCACATAAATTGGCGTGCACTCCACTAAATGTTTAGTAGCCTACTTCCATCCATGAACAGTGTAAAAGACGGATGACTAGAGACAGGCAGGCGGTTAACAATATCCATTATGAAAAGTTAAATAAAATAGTTTAATACAGACATGGTTTATCGCTTAAACGCATTTGTTCCAAGGATGGATTCCTTGGTTGGTTACAAACGTTGCTTCGTATGGATGATACTGGTCATCATTCTCGACACTTCCAGAAATAGCCTGATCATGAGAGAAAAGATGGACATATTATCAACCTTGGCGTGGTGATCAATCAGAAAAAAAAACTAATCTAATGGTGGTAAATGAGAAAGACGAAGACCATTTACCTATGCAATTTCCTTGACTGTTTAAGATTGCAACCACTATACCTATTGCTACATGTATTTAGGATCTATCTTTACTTAGGATGGAAAGGTAGGACGGTAGGAAGTCATATCGTAGAAAGAAGCCATATGTATTTTGTATAATTTCTTGATAAAAATCGTGATTTTTCCATTTGATATTAAAAAGCGTGTTATGAAAGCATTATTCGTGTCTTGTATTTTAGTGGTTGCGAGGAATGTGTAAATAACAGTGCTACAAATAAGTTGATAGAGGTTACACATCGCTAGTTGTGTCCTTGCTAGAGTGACAACTCCTCATGATTTATGTCTTATGGAATTAAGCACATGTAGCGCAGAAGCCGGCTCGAAAGCTGTACAGCATAAATTTCTGATAAATACTCTCGACCAAATGAGGTGATTTTCATGACGATCTGTTCTTATGAACTGGACTGTCTGTGATCAAACAAATACCAACGTATTCCAATAACTATTTTGGAACACGACAATTACGTGGTAGTTGACTTAATGGACCGTAAAGATAGGGTGCTTGTATCACATAATTGCAAGGCGGTGTTCTGTAGAGAGTCTAATTCATATCTTATCGTCATATATATTGTATTTACACAGACTTCAATGTCAGAAAGTATGAAAAAAATTTGCAACGCGGTTAATATCGTTGTCACACGACCTTGGAATAGAGAAGAACCGTGTTGGGCCAGAGTTCTTTTGGAAGAACGGAAACGAATTTTTGTGTAGTTCATATACTAGAATATATATATATTTTGTTTGTTTGTTTCTGTCCCATGACAAGATGTACACTCGAGAAATATTATGTGTTAGACTTCAGTACGGCGGCTCCCTGTAGGTAACGCCACCAGAGTGGTCTTTGCACACCAGCGAGCTGTCTAGACTGAAAAATATTGATTTATCATTGATTTCTTTGAAAGGTGTTCAACGAAAAAGAGTTTTCCTCCTTCAATGAAGCCTGGTTGAAAGATAACAAATGTGTTCGAAAAAAATAGAACTATAACTACATGTATGTTTTTAGAACTTAGACCACCGTGCATTATTATTGGACTACTCCTTTTGATTATTTTCCGAAACTGTTCCCTTCAATTTTAGACTACGTGAAATATATCCGTTGTGTTAGGTGAGATGATGATTTCACTTTAATTTCCGCCTTCTCTTCGTTTCGTTTTTTTTTCCAGCTGCCCAATAGAAGGCTTTTACGAAGAAAATTTATATCTTGTAAACAGATTGACATAAATTATACATGTACGACATGTTTGTTCTGTTTAATAAATTAAGACTTATGATAACCCAATTCTGTTCTCTTATATTTTTTAATTACAGCTCGCTTTCATGGGAATCCTGAACTGTTGCTGTCAATATGTCACCATGGCTACGTGTATTAAGTCTCAATTGCATTTCAATTTTTCACATTCATGAATTAAGGTAAATTGGTGCGACTAACTAAGTTTATTTCACCACCTCTTACAGCGCAATATCGGCGCCCTTGGCTGACTCTTTAAACACGTCAATTCAAGTGATGTTATAAACATTTCGCACTGCTCAAATATTATCGATCATTTAATTTTCATTTATTACCGCTGGAAGCAGCATTGGGTCTATTCACTGGCCACCGGAGTGTTGATTGTTGCTACGCAGAAACCGAGGTTCCCTTTAAAAACAAATATGCCTCTTAAAGCACCGTCGAAATTGAACAAACCGTCCTCTAATACGCTGCTTGTGTTATTTAGTCTGCGTCGTTGGTTCGGTGACCATTGTATACAATAAGCGGTTGCACGCTCAGTGTCGACTCAATACTGGCTTGGAGTATAAAAGATATGTCTGGCCATTAGTGGCCCCGGATAAACATTAATGTGCGAAGATTTGAAAGGGAGTGTTGGCGTCTTCTGCTTGATTTACTGCCAAGCAAATACTTCAGTGAGACACGTTACAGAACTGGGGATGTTAACACGGTGCAGCGGTGACAAGTTAAAACATAGGAGCTGCTACATGACACGTTTTATATAGTTAATCCGATACTGCTTCTGGAATTAATCACACTTTCTTGGTAGAAGGTGGGTATTTTGAGAACTTGTAACTTCGTGTTCTTAACTATCATAAGGAAAAAGATTAACTTTGCTTGTTTCTTACTGTGCGTGTATCACATTCCAATGTCAATCAGCTGGAGGCGAAGGGTCATTTTTTGGTTGCGTTTGTAAATCAATCCGACACGATGACAAAAAAAGTTTAATTGATTGTGTTTCGCCTATTATTATTTTCAAGTTTACCTATAATGCTGAAAACTGAAGTTTGCTGAGCGGTTGTGTCATAATTTTCAGAACTAATAATCGTACGTACAGACAGGACGATTTTGAACAGAAGTTACCATGTCGGCGCCGTGGACACTTTGGCGGTCAATGCCACCAAGATACCAGCTCAGCCTTGAGCGGAAAGAACAACCAAAACCCAGAGAGAAAAAAGGCGATTTTATATTGGAACCACAGGCAACGAATCGGTCGCTGTCAGATTCAGAAGACCGAGAATCAACGCTTAATCAAAGCCTCATCCACAGCGACAAGGAGCGTCTGTTCAAAAAGGCACATCCGGCATTTCCATGTCGGCGGTCAGCATACCTTCACCATATGAAGGTACAGGGGAGGGTAAATTCAGCCAAAACATTCATCAACGAACACCCAAGTGTTATACCCTCCCGGCCTCATACAAGAGCGAAGAGTGCACCTAATCTTCTTGAAAATTGTGCCGCCAACAAATCCCATGACCCATTTATTCCTACCAGGGAATATACCACAGACAGTCGGAACTTATATTACAAAATTCGCCACGATCCTAGATTTTCGGACAAAGTGGTAGACATTCCGGAATCGTATGAGCCAGAACCGGAGAGTACCCCTGAAAGATTCCCCGCCAGAAAAGTCCCAAGATCGGCTTCCCGTGTTGTAAAGAAACTATTCGTTTCACCAGAAAATTCCATGCAGTTTCAGTACGTTTCGGAGACCCCACTCGCTCTGCATAAGCAAACGTATCACAGTCTTCCCGATGAAGTACCGGGCGGAATGGACGGCGATCAAAGAAACGATAGTTTACCACCGGGTAGTCCTCCTAACACGGAGGATCCCGAAACACCAAGTATCCCGCCCCATCTTCAACCAAGTAGAAGCGGCAGCGATCAAATCCACACTCAAGGCGACCAGAGCAACGGTAACGTAGTGCAAGAATACATGCTGAGAACCGACGACATTTTGAGATATTACTCAGAAAAAGACTGCAGCATTTGTAAACACATCGCAGATGACATTTCCATATACCAGCAGTCTCTCATGAGTAACGACGGGCACCAAAGACGACTGATCGAAAATTCATTCCTAACTGGTCGTCCTTTAATGGACTACCTAGAAAGCCACACACCTAAGGAGATAACTAACAATAAAGTACATAAGATATTTCTCGGTAATGTGAGAGATCATTTCAGTTTGGACACTATACATGATCCCCTGGAGACCAATAACGCGTTTTTCCAATTGAATCGTCCGTCTGTGCTGAATCCTCGCAAAGAAATGGGATTACCAAGAGTTTTAGGCAAACAGATTTCTGAGACGGAAACAAAAAATTCCAGGAAACTGAAACCATCATTGGTTCCGTGTTTTGCTAAAGAAAATGGTGCTGTGAAATTAAGACTATCAAAGGACAATCAGGCAAGGATACCAGCCGAGCCGAAAGAATCACCACGAAAAACATGCATTAAATACGCCGAAATTGTTATTCCCTCCGCAACGGAGAGTGACTCCGGTACTTTACTAGGTTTAAGTCCAAGAAAATCAGATATGAATGCCACGATATAAATTTCTACAGGTTTTATGAAGCTTTTCACATACTATATCATGAGACATGTATTCATTACCGTTGGAGTTTGATTCCCAAGAAGATTTTATTCATACTGACTTTTTATTCATTTTAATCGTTTATTAAATTTTGAAATAATAGGGTTTGCGCATTTCTTCATTCAGTAACACAATTTATAATTAACAAAATGCAATTAGTAGCACTGCTGAGTGCTATCAAGAATCGTACTGAGTAAAAGGATTTCTTTATCTTTCTTTTTGGTACAAAATTGTCTTTCAAATCTTGGTAAAAAGTTACTTTAACTTCTCTCACCATAAAGCTCGCATGAAGCAGATCGGTTTAAAACACAGTAATTGTTCAGTTGTAACATTTATCTTATTTCAACAGTATAAATTTAAACAAATAAATATTTATTCATTCAAAATATCAAATGATCATGAAGTTACATGTACTCTGGGTAAAACTATTATACGAAGCCTAGCTGTCTTTTGTCATATACATGTACTATGACGTACACTTTTAACATTTGCATTTGTTTAAATTTCATATGGGTTAATTTCGCGTCTGATAGAAATAAAAAGAACCTTCAGCAAATCACAGTCAGTCTTCGGTCTATTTCAAGATGCATGTCACTTCTTTTCATACTTTTCATCCTGTAGTTTGAGATCGGACACAAATGTTCTAGACTAAGGAGACGAGGTGCTCCAAGTGAAGTAACTTGTGATTCTGGTGAACTTCCTCGCTGCAAGGCAGGCAGAATAATGCAGGCGTGCCTTGAACAATTAAAGAAAACAACATGAAGTTGTTGAAATATTTATGGTCATAATGTTAAAATATTTATGGTCATAATGTTAATGTCATCATTTTCATTCATCAGTGGTTATGAAAAATCTGTTTTCTATAATCCTCATATGTTGCAGCGTGTGATTGCTCGGCAAATTGTGACGTCACCGCCGGGAAGTGATCGCAAAAGAAATCAACGCAAACTGACGTCATCGTTATAACTGATAATTGACGAAAAAATGCAACGGCATTTAGTACAGTGATTTACTTATATCTTGTCCAACAGTACGATATAAGTTTATTTAAAAATATGATTTTATTATCTGAATTTCATAAAAAAATTAAAAAAAAAACATATAAAAGACCTTTTTCTAGGTTAGCCAAGTGATATTTAGCTTAAAATAGGATGGCAAACCCAATAGACAGTAAGATAATAGCAGTAAAGGAATATTCTAAAGATTAGACCTACCATCATTTGTCCCACATAATGGACAAGCCACTTTTGCTTCTGGACCATAGCACCAGTAGCAAAGATGTCGTATTTTTTCAGCTGAAGACATCTTTTGGCATGAATCTTGAAATCCATCTTGATGTAGCAATTTATGACATGATCTGCATAATAGAATCCCACCTGTAGGAAAAGAAAAGGGTTTGGTTTTGGCTACTTAGAATTCAAACACTATGAAATGCATTTGTGCACTTTTTGAGAAGACTCGGCGTTTAGTTCTATCTGGAATATAGTTGCGTTCTAACTTCATAAAGGACAAACCAGTAGTAGATAATTGATTAAAAATAACTATACTCTAATCGACATCGGAAAAATATAAGATATATTTTGATATTTATCTTCTAAAGTGACTTAACTCACCTGGGACGCGATTGTTTTGGCATAAAACTATCTGCACAAAAGGAAAACACTGGAAGCAGCGACTGCACACCAATCTATCCATAGTGCGGCTAAACGCACATACATGTACATTCGTTTTTTTTATGTTGTTATGTGGCGGGAAAATGTATACGACTGAATATGACGTTATATATGTGTGAGTTGAATCATAATGGTTTAATCAGTTGATCCTGTCTTTTTATTTATTTGTTTATTTATTTACTTATTTATTTATTTATTTAGACTCTACAATTGTTAAATAATTCATATCAGATAATTATACAATTTACCCTGCAGGTCAACAGAATGCATTTTTGTATCATAGATTTATATTAATAAACATGGTATATGCAAGTATATGTTTCATGTCAAAAGAGATTATGATATTGTAGTTTGTTTCACATGGAGTTTAATATGTATTTATCAAAGTTTAAACTTTGTTTACATAACATGGTAAGAGCAGGTGTTAAGATTCACAATGTTATAAGAAGGTATTAACATAAATAGGCCAGAAATATTTGACAAGATGGCTGTAAATCACCTGGTATTAGTTTTACTGACTATACTTTTTCAAGAAATGTAAGTAAGCTATTTTTCGATAATAGGATGTTCGATTTAAAATTACCAAAGTTTTAACCAACCGTTTTTTACATGGATTTAAACAATATGTTTTATATTTTCAATAAATAATATGGAGCATTCTCTAGATGGGACTTACTCACGTCAGAATCTGTGCACGGACACCATGCCCTGTTTCGTGTAATTATTCGCAGTATTTAGACGCTTTATGCATCTTGTCTAGAAAAAAATAATTTGTTTATCAAAAAAGTGCTGAACTGAGCTAGATATCGTACCCAAATTTATTAAATATGTGAATATTTATTTTAGCGCACCAGTATACAGTAATGGGCGGGTTTTAGAGCTACCAGCCATTGACTATGTCGACAAGTACAAGCGGCACCTGGCGCTTGGAGAGTGTCCGACGCGGACCATCAACGGTCGAGAAGTGTCATGGTAAAATGTCACTGATCAAGTGTATATTGGCCGTTAAAGGAGAAGGGATTAATAGATTTTAAAAATGTCAAAAATGATAAATTAATTAGATTTATATTACATTTCACATTTAACATATGTAAATTTTCATTGTAGAATAGTACATCGTGACATTAAATACAAAAATTATGAATCAATAAATATGTGCATGTGCTGCTGTTCTAGTCCGGTGAAGACGCCGTACAGGGGAACACCAAAGTATTACGAATACCCCGTAACCAGGATCACGTACAAGCAAGCCAATTCGGTGGAAGACATCTTTAGGGAGATGACCGTTATGGGCGGGGTCGGTGTCTCATTTATGGGACTCATTGGAGCTTCTGTTTCGGTATGTTTCCTGACTTTGCAATAGGCCTATCTATTTATTGTTTTTTTTTTCATTTGACAAACCGTTATATACTAGACATAACAAAAGGTATATCCCAGATTTCCCTCAGATTTCCAAGCGGCTGTTTCTATTACATGCCCGATGAAATTTGTTTATATCATGAGGATTTGCTCTTGTTTCGCCCTCCGTGGAGCATTAACCAAGCAAAATATAGCAGCAGAAAAAATCTAAAGTTTCCAATCTGTCCAATCACAGAAATCCATCCTCGATGTAAGTTATTTCAACATACTGTATATAAATAAAAGTACTGATAGAAAACTTTATAGAATACCTTTTTTTCTTTTACCATAGGCACGTTACACGGAGACATTGAATGCCAAATCCAACAGTATTACCATGATGGGCCACGTGACAGCACAGCGCGGGTTTTGGACATTAGGTCATCCACGACCCAGCAGGTGTTTAAAACACTAACGATTTTTTGACACTTTGGGTCTTTAGGAAAATTGATATATGACATCTCTATTGATTTTATGAATAAGATAAATTTTTTCTTTCTTTTTTTTCTAATCTAAAGATGCAGAATCTGGTATTGGCAAACTGTACCAGTATGCACCATTATACAATTATCCCCGTTTCCCATAATCTTATATTGAACATCGTGGTCATTCAAGAAAAATTATATACGAAATACTGTTGAGTAATCTAAATTATTTTTCAACTATTGCAGCAATATTGGATCTTTAAGTAGATACCAAACCAAATACTATGTCAGTGACATTTTGGTCGGGGGCGAGGACTCTTTGATCGTACAGTTGAACTTCAATTCTGAAGAAGTGAAAAAAAAAGTAGAAATTACTATCAAAGTAAGTGACATAGGTCCCTTTTCGTTGCTTAAGTAGTCCTTTTAGGGTATAATTCTCTTTTCTACGTGTTAAGCATTTAGAGAATCGAAATTACTATACTAGGATGAAAGAAATGTGAAACGCATTTTAAATGTTAGATTATATAGAATATTCCTTTATTTTCGTCCCTACATAATTTTCACTGTAATCATTAAGTTTGTGTTTTTTTCAATTACAGATTAAACTTCTGTTCTTCACCATAACTACAAAAATGGAATGGGTGAAGACTAATTTTAAAGGATCAGCAAGTGTTGATGCAAGTATTTTCATAGTTTATATTTGCGTAGAGGGGCCTGAATATATACTAGCACATAAAGGTGAAAAATACAAATACCCTTTATAGAATCTAGTGCAAATCTAATTAAATGATAAGAAATAACATTACACATAATCTAAAGTAAACAACGTTTCAGAGCATTAATAAGTATCAGTTGTTTTAGACATGCAGTTACAAGTGTATTTATACATGAAATTGAATACCATCAAGACTTTTAAGTCTTTTTTTAAAACTTTATCAGTCTTCGTATCTATTTGTTTTAGATTCGTCGTATTTCATCTATTGGCAACAGTGTCAAGGAGTCGTACTGCTGTGATCTAGCTGGCTATGACAGAGCTCTAGCGAGAGTGAGGCAGCTAGAGGCAGAAATGGCCAAGGTGGGCACCGACTTGAAGAAAATCAGCGTGAGTGACGAGCGTCTTCACACAGGATATCTGCTCACCCCGTTTGATACCGAGTCGACAGGTACCCAAACTGTTACGTTTTCTTTGTCATTTTCGCGTGTATTTAAGAACTAATAGCACCCATCGCTTCTCACTGATTTAAAAATTTGCTGACATTGACTGTTTGGCCACATGAAATAAATTCTCGAAAAGAGCACAATAAACGTGTGCAGCAACACTGTCACATTGGTAACCTAAATAATGCATGTAGCTCTCTACTAAATCCCGTTACGACAAGACAAGTTATATATTGAAAGAAACAAGCCCTCATCCCATTTAATACTGCAACAGTTGTCATTGCATTGACTGGCAATATCGTGCATTATGTTTAACTCTAATTAATTTTCCTGACAGTGAGTAATCTTTAGTTTTGACATCTATCTAGATCTTAAGTATATGAACGTGGTCTTCACCCACAGAATGAAAAGACTGACAGACCAAAAGAATGAGGTTGAAACAGTTCTGAACCAAGTCCAAAGAGAGCTGCAGAAGGTATTTCAACACATAGCATTGTATATTTCGGGCCCGTGGTTCTTCAATGCACCATTGATTAAGGATTCAAGTAGCCTGCCTTGGCATAATTTTAACTACGTGCATCAAATCAAAATCTAAAAGGTTGTAATAAGGTGTTAGACTCTTAGTGTTTTTAATTTTAAAGTAATCTTACTAGGAAGGAATAAACAATTACTACATGGCGAATATATAGCCATGCAGTATAAGACTTGCTTAGATCAAGAGCATGCTATTATGCATTCCATGTACGTGGTCTAGCACGCCTTATATTTATTTTGCCAAGTTTAGTTGGATATTTTTATTTACAGGTACAGCCGTCCAGCCGCCTAGGTGCTCTGAACTCCCTGGAACTTGAGCTGACCAGAATAAGGACACAAATGACCAACGCCCTTAACAGATTTACCCAGCTGACTCTCTCCCAGACCACATCACTTGGGAGTTACTATGGGAATCTTAGAGCTCCGTTCTATTACACAAGAAAGCTGGCACAGATTTTGGCATCGTAAAAAACTTTGGCAGCTTGGCAAGAACGCACATTTGTTACTTTAGTTTAACTGAAACTGAGCGACAATCTATAAGAGAAAAATTGACTTTAGTAAAATATCACGTTCACAGGTATTATTTTGTATACGTAAGGCAATAAACTGTGACTTAGATGTGTAAATGTCAACACTGTGTTGGGTTTCTTTTTCGTCCTTACTCATAAGGACAATATTTGATAAATGGTCTCATCCTAATAGCCTATTTCACCAGCAATATTGTGTCACGTGTCTTATATAATCGCATACGCCAATATAGATCACAGTGAATCCTGCAATACACCTTTGTGACCAAGGGTGACAATATGTGTGCTGAGAAAAGATGCACATGTCTCTTTAATATGATATCTGTCCACATGACGTACTTCACGCGCTAGTAATAAATAGTGGACACGGTTGACATTTTGCGAGCAGGTTCGAAGGTACGTTTTTAGCACATGAACTTATTTGTCCAAGGTTAAGTTCTTCAAAGCAGAAAACGCTTTTAAGTGAACTGAGAGACGCAGATGTTCAAGTACATGTTCTTTGATATAGTTTAAAATTGCCCCAGATAACGTAAGTAGCGATGTGATGAGTACTAGTAAAACTAGTCAACAAATTGCTTTTAATTCACCCAAAGAATTCCTAAAAAATCAGACTCGATATTGACATTTTATTGATCTCTAAGACTACCTACACATGGTGCATTCATATTTAAATTAGCTGAGGACTGGAAGATTCGCCATGAACATCATTTTACCCTACGTTATCCCAATGTTACTGGGAAGAACGTTCAACATCACTTCGGACAAAGTCGGCACAGATATCTTTCCAGCGGGATTCCAACCAACTGTGAGCATATACGTACATAGATAAAATACAAAAGTTATGATTTTATGTTGAAATTAATATACTGAAACATTATAATAGCTACTTATCTACATGCATGTGCTTTAATACAATGGTACCAGTGTTTTCTATTATTCTATTAGTGCATGAGTTATTAATAATGGGAGGGACTTTTCCTTCGTTATTTCGTGACCTGGGATTAAAAACTGTTCAGTTGTGATAATGTACCATCATGAAACAATTTTAATATTTGATCATAATTTACATTGTTCTACGGTAAACCATCACTTTTTTCGCCTTAAATTATACTTTTTTTCAAACAGAATTTTTTAGCATGCTTATTACGTTTACCAATTTTTATAGATACCCGTCAATGTAAACTTGAAAATCTGACTGTCTTCCGGTAGACCTAGAAGACCGCCTAAATCCTCCCCTGATTACTACATGTATCTGTGCGTGTTGGAAAATAAAACTGCATCTTTTTTATTTTGCAGAGTATAAACAAACAGCGCACAACCAGTTCTCATAAGATGGTAGAAACTAGTCGGCAAGCAAGAGATTTCTTAAATGTCGGCGGGGAATTGTCACTGAAAATAAAGAGCGGAATGCTCAGTATTAAGGGTACATGTATACATTATACTATGCTCTTTCTGTATTTGACCCAGGCACTTCTTCCCACAATCTGGGTAAGCCAATATCATTTTATTCTCCATTCATGTCGACTCTATGACAGATAAAGACGGGTGTCTCGTTCATCGAGAGTTAGGTGTGTTGTACATGTATGCTTACACAAACGTGGTACCCTCTCATAAGCCTTTATCATAGGGCCAGAAATTTGCGATCAAATCAGCTTGATCTCTTTAGCTTGTCCATATCACTCTGCAATTCTACTAGCTATTCCAATTTGTCTGACAAATTATTTTAAACAATTTCAGGATCTGGAGAATATCTGAAAGACGAGCAATCCAGGTCAAAGAGAATTGAAGTTCTTACTAAGGTCCACTTTGAAACGGTAAGAAAGTCATAGACCCATACCGGTACATTGTAAATATCTTGCAGTGCTTATGCTTCCAATTCATATATGTCGTTAACAAATTAAGTCAAAAAACGCTGTGTGGGGAAACACATTGAGTACCAGAGAAGGGAATGTGCCTGTCATGAAGTAGCCTATGCAAAATGATTATTGGAGGTGACTATCAGTCACTCAACATGTACAGGTGAGCTTGATATAACTGTTTCACTGCCGGAACTCAGTGGCTTTGGGCCGAAGATCTTAAATCTTAAAACATAGATCAAGTAGATAATTATCGTCATTATCAATTTTGCAGTACGAAATACCTGTTGGTGACAAGTGGAATGTGGACAATACCAGTAAACACATCTTCGATGAGACAATGCTGCGAAGAAGAACTGGTACATGACATAAGCCGCATGGCTCATACGAACTGTGTTTATTGAGGAAATTCTATCCTAATTTTTCACGATTCGCAGGTCACCGAGACCATCCCATCGTCACTGCGTCCTGTACGAGGATGGACACTTAAGGGCCCCCAGTCCCTGGGGTCGCACTACGTAAGAAGTATAACGTACGGTGGGGAGTTGGTGGCATCCCTTATCTTCACTGCTGAAACGACCCAAGAATACCAGAAAATCAAAGCTGCTTTAAGTGTAGGGATCCCGGTAAGTGAAGTCACACAATCATTTTCTCTTTTTGTGAACATGTTTAAATGAGACTGGCTGTTTATTATTAAGTATAAGACCTTTTGACGCGATAATGCTCCCTGAACTAAATCCCATTTGAATGTTTTGGACATTAAGTTGCAGTATACTGAACGAGGCATAGCGACAGTTTCAGATTTGTTTTACATGAATAAATTATTGTGGTTGCTAATGAATTGCTTAAACTTGGATCAAACCTAAACAACTGACATTTAATGTCTTCTTGCTATCACCACAAGATTTACGGACCGTTTGGTCTTGACGTCGAAGGTGACTTTGGCAGAACAGTGAAGGAAATGAAAGACAAAACCACACTCGATATCAAATACTTTGCAAATGTTCCCGTAGATATCGTTCCCACCGACATGGACTCTTTCGGAAAACTTGTCGAGAGATTCCCAGACATGGTAAGATGGATTTTTGAGCTAAAGGTAGCTATAGCTTACTACCAGAATCACTCTTGAACTCCCATAAAAAGTCAACTTTAGTATAGATCTGAGATAGGAGCAAATCGCAATCGGTTCTTGGCCAAATGGTTTTATATTATTATCAATCAGATTTGTGAGATACTTTGCTACAATATTACTCTTGTTTTCTTTATGCGTGTTAGAGTATTATTTTCGATCTTTCGGGCAATTAGAACCTTGGGAATTTATTATTGATGAGACATTACAATACTTACTCGACCGAACGATTTGACGAAAACCAATAATATATGTACTTTGTGAATAATGTTGAATTGTTTTAATAGGTAAAGAAGGTTAATAATGGAAAAGGAGTGCCTGTTCGTGCCGAACTTGTACCTCTTCACTCGCTCAGTTCGAAATATATAGACTACCTCGTTGACGGGTAGGTGACTTTTGAATATGTAGTTAAAATTGAAACCATTGAAAGAAAACCATTCATGAAAAAGTAAAACAATGCCTGCAGTCCAGCAGTTTCTATCTGAGTTATGCAGTTAGCCCCCTTCCCCCTTTTCTACGGTACAAAGTACTTCGGATGTGGAAAATAGAGATTGACTTCGTTTCATTCAGTTTTGTTCTTTTGTGTTTGATATATACAGATGGGACATCTCAAGCACTATCTTAAGTACTTTGTACCGGAGAAAAGGGGGAGGGGACTAACTGCATACCTCAGATAGAAACAATAACACCTATAGCCTCATGAAGGTGTCTTATGAAACAGAATATTGGAGTGCAAATAATTCTGCTTTTAGGATACTGTTTTGAATAAAGTAACATTCTAACTGAATCCCCGCAGTCACAGAGATGTCGGAAGATCTGACATATTTCTCTGTTTAGATTTATATAAATGCTGTGTACCTATTGTAGTACTTATAAAATACCTATTTTAACTTGCAGGTCTCTACGGAGCGAGCTAGACTCCATAGAACTGCGATTTGATGATCTCCGCGGGGCCAGTGCAGCTATGAGAGACTGGTTGTCCCGACTGCCTTCCGTAACTGCCGCGCAAGAGCAAGAGGTGAGGAGCAGTGCCTTATCACTCAAAGCTAGAGGCCAACTAGGTGATGAAATTAAATGCAAACCGAAATACTCGTTGGGCAGAAGAAAATATTGCCATGAATTAACCATAGTCAAGTATATGTGAATACTCAGTGAAAAATCAGTCTTAGGCCCTGGTAGAGAGTAATGCCTTTTACGTACATGATGTTCTGTATGTGCAAATTTAGTAGATAGGCCCTACTGCATTAAGAAAAAGCGTTTTTAATGAAACATTTTCACCGTTTCTGGCAAACCTAAACATTATTATGGAATGATTTCAGATGGGGCCGTAGCGATAGTCCGAAGGTTCAATAGTCCGAAGGTTCATTGGTCCGAATGTTCACTATAGAACCTTCGGACCAATGAACCCCTGATTAAAAAATCGATAAAAATGTTACCACTTTTCGGACCAATGAACCTTCGGACCAATGAACCTTCGGACTATCGAGACGCCCCCATTTCAGATAGCTGCATTTGACAAGAAAGTGAATGACATTTTAGAGGTTTTCTATGATGTCATAGCGAAAATGGATCTGTCGCAGCAATCCGGTCGGAGAGCTCAGTTCGATCCGGCCTATAATGCGTATAACGCAGGCGGGTTTGGCATTCCCGGAACCTACATGCGACAATGGAATAGCATCAGAAGTAGAATTGTGAGTAGTTCATTTTCCTCTATCATCCACTTTCTCTTTCCTTCGGAAAAATATGCCCGTTTGGGTTTTATAATATATTGGCATTTTGTAGACTGATTTATCTTAGACCATCAATGTATTGCAGTTGACTATACCTGCACCAATAGGCCTACATGTGCACGTTTTTAACTTCCTATCAGTAGGCCTACCACTATTGCATCTGTTACACCGAGACGTACGGTACATTGTATTGATCATGCGCACGTGCGCACAGTAGGTGCATTTTTTAACAGTTGAATTATATTTTTGTATAACTAATACTGTTTCTCAGTTTTTTCCTTGTGTGTGTGCGTGTGTGGGTGCGCGCGTGTGTGCTCGCGCGCGTTCGTGCCTGCGCGTGTTTGTACACATACCGAACCATGTAAGAGTATGTAGGCTACTGGTATTTTTTTCCAAAATTCATGTGCAATGACTACAAATGTATCATACCTTATGAAATGTTGCGTCATGTTACTTTACAGGAAACTGGAAATGTTATTGTTGGGAAATAAAGAGAAGCCAACCTCAGTCCACATGATGAGCACACAAAAAAGTGAATATTATCATTCCATTGAAAAAAATTGTATTTGACATTCTGTTTTTAGAAGGTTTATTTTGCCAATAAAATGATGCGTGTCCATATTTAATATATTTCTGCCCTCTCTGTTGAAGTGGTCTTTATTTTAATTCACGCCTTTCTAATATTTTTTCAATTTTTTTTTGTTTGTTTCTTTTATTTATAGCCATATTTACAAGTATGGTCTGATCAATATGTATGAATATGTATGGACTACTATAACATACATAAATGTATGTCGACCTACATGTATATTGTCCCTAACGAAAGTAAACGGAATGTCAGAATTGCTTTAAATTGTAATACTTACAGTGTATCTTTCAATTACTTTAAGAATTACTTTAAGTGATCAGTTGATCTTAAGTTACATATCTTTAATGGCAAACAAAAATTAACAACGATCGCCTGAGTATCATGTAATAAGACTTCCCGGAATGGATAAGATCGCTCCGGCTATTTCAGCATCAACATAATTTTAAAAAATCACTCCCTAGAGAGTGTGCTTGTGACCATGACCTTGCCCTTCAAGAGAAGCTACGTTCTTAGCTGAATAAATTAACTTTTTATGTTTATGTTTTGGTGTTTTAAAAGAAAATCATAATTCAGGTAAACTATTACTTGTGGTGTGATGAGAACTCCGTTGTTTTGAGAGTAATCACTGTTCATATAAATAGCGAGAAGGACTTCGTTTTATCTCGTGTATCATCGGGTTTATCCGCCTCACTTAGATACGAGCAAGATGGCTGACAAACCTAAGCACAAACCCCCGGAGGGGATGGAACCATACGATTTAGGTGGACAAGGTGACCTCGGAGCACTCAGTCCCGAACAACAAGAAAAACTGAACAGATTTAAGGTGATTTTGATTAACTGACTTTGTTAAAAATGCTTTATTCTTCAATGAATTACGGAAAATCGGTCATTATTTATGTAGACCAAGTCACCAACCCTATCGATGCCGTCAATATCTAGACAGCGATGGTGTTTCTGAATTACCGGATATTTTCAGTTATTCCGAAACTCTACCATGAGAGTATTTTGCAGTATTTCGTTGAACTTTGACATTGTTTATGAAAGGTATACATGTATAAATGTATCTAACTCACCCCTCCCCCTTTGGCAATCGCCCCCACCCCCATCCTACAGTATATTATGGCTTGGTATATTATTATTATTGCCCCGAATACTACATGTACTAATATAAGGTGTACATATATAACAGACATGTGCTGAGGTAGTTAAAATGAGGGGTGGTGTGAGAATGATTTTTATGCTACATTCATCAAATATGCAGTTGGCAAATGCTTGAGTTCCACACTGAAAATAATCATCATCTTTACCAGTAGTTCCACTCTGCTGCTTTAATCACATTCTTATTTTTCCAATTTCAGATTCAAACTAGATTAGAGAATGAGAAATATCTTAGAAATCACCCAGAAGTAGAATGTTTGCTCACAGGATTTTTAGGGTAAGTTTGTTGCAACTGTGTTAGCCTATAGGTAAGCAATGTATTGAGTATGGAAGGGTTTTTGTGCTTACATAATCTGTAATTGCATACAGTTTTAATTTTAAGTAACTTGGGTGTGCAGTTTAACTGTTTTTAACAGCCTTTATAATTTTAATTTAAAAAATGTATTTGTTTTCTTTGTTCACAGGGATATATTACGGAAGAGGCCAAATAATGTAAGAGAGTTTGCATCATGTAAGTTATCTTTCATACATACATGTACAGTGTACACAGCACATCAGTGATAAAGTTATAGTTACACATTATTAACAACTAAATATTAAGGTTTAGCTTTTGGGTCATTAACTGTTTCATTCATATTTGTTACATGTATATAGATATATATGAAATAAGAATTACCTTTTCTAAAAAAAAAAAGAATTATACTATATAGGCATGTATATATATTTAAATTCACTTTTTCCTTTTCAGCATATTTCACAGATCCTGATCTACCAGACAAAGTCGTGAATCAGTTAGAAGGGAGACAAGCACAAATGAAACAGAACAAGGTGCTACAAAAGACTTTGACTCAGTAGACATGTTGTAGTTTGTTTTAAGGGAAATTGTGTATAACTGTACTCTTTATTTTAAATTGAATCTGTGGATAATTTTTTGCTGCCACACATAGTTAGGCATGAAAAAACTTTGTTAGTTTGTTTTAACATCAAACACTGATATTTTGAAATGGAAATGTATTCGACAATAAAGGCAGAAAAAATGAGGATTTTATCTTTGCCATTAAATACACCTGCATTTGATTAAATATAAGTAGGAATAGTTAAAAAGAATTGTAAAATGACCCTTTTAATACAATGGAATGATCTCTTATCAGGAATGACTTAATGCCATTGCAGCATTTATGTGAAATTCAGGATTGTGTATTGAACAACTGAGGTGACTTATGCTAAATTATACAGTGAGGCATGTTTCTTTCATAAGACAAAAACTTTAAATGCATAATTTGATGTGCTGATGCATGTTTTTGAAAACTTGTCTTCTTTTTTATGAATTTTATGAATATCTTTTTCAAATGTTTACATCTGACAGGGGATAAATACCAGAAAGAATAAAGGAAATGTAATCGGTGAACAACTTTAGTGTAATATGTGAACTGCATGCTACCTGCAGTATTCTAGATATCAAGTTGTTTGTCATAATGTGTGACCTTTATATCCGTGCTGCATGATCTTAGTATAATGTAGCAAACTGTACATTAATTTAAAGGCTTAAATAAACATATTTATCTTAGTACAAATAACATTTTGTTATAATATTTTTGTCTACATATTTTTAATAACGTCACTCAATTGTCATACAGAAACTATTTTATTATAAGGAATGTCTATCCCTATGCCTGCTGTAGCTGTATTGCCTGTTTTTCATTATGTGTGTCAACTTGGCTGGTTATTTTCAACAGTAGGATAATGCAGTGCCTTATACTTGACCATTAGAATGTTGGAACACAAACACACGTACATAAACCTTCCTAAACTTCATGTATTAAAGTTAGCAAAATTCAAAATTGAGATATTACATCTAACTCCTTGGCAAAATTAAGGTATAAATCGGAGAACGAGGGGTCTTTCCTTTTGAATAGATACAATGTACTATTTCTCTTTTGCATTGATGCTATTTATCACGATACATAAATGGCCTTCATGTTAAAATTTTTAATATATCTGACAATTTAAAATTTGTGAATTTTATTCATGTGATGTTGAGTTTGAGAAGATTTCAATACACAATTAGAATAAAATTTATTTACAAAGATGTTATATTTACAATGAAAGAATACAAATACTTTTATTGATTTAACTGCATTTTATTTTGCTTTAGCATAAACGTAAGCTACAATAAATACAGATGACATCAGAGAGATCAAATAATACAAATGTAAATTTAATTGAATGTCTAGTCTGGTCCTTGCATGCACCTTTTGATGTGGCATCTAAAATGGCCTTACCAAATTATATCATGCTTGAAATGATTTTACACTTCTTTTAAATATAAAATGCAAAAGAAAAAAACATTGAGCAAGACTTTTGGGTGTGCCGTTTCTAAAATTATTATTCACTTGTATTTTACATCTGATCTCTTGAATATTTACACGAGGAAAGGGTTGCCTCTGTAACGTAATGATTGCACACGTGTACGAAGAACAATGAAAAACTATTAGATACATGTATACCATATCCATATATAAACTCGAAAAAAAAAACTACGCATTTTGATTGTCTTTTCGTATAAAATTGAGCACTATATCAATATATCATTGTAAGAAATTTTCTAAAAACTCCTTTCTCTAAATTGTATGATCAATTTTACCCTTGAAAGGTAAATTTATACATATATATTTCGAAATAGTAATTTAATATCTTTAAAAACATGTATTAAGCCTAAATCTGAATTAAACAAATACTATGATATCAGCATATTAAATGAGGCTACCAGTAGCTCCATAATCATCGGGTGAGATCACCAAGATTGACTTGAGAATAAGATGAATATATTGCGGCAAAGTTCCGAAGAGGCATCCTGTTGATTTGCCTTGCAGCTAGTGCAAGTTCCATCATGGAATGCGTGATTTCAAATGTGAGGTATAAAATGCTGTCGTTTTTTAAGACATTAAAAAAAACACGACATGGTGCAGTCAAATAGTTTTCGAAAAAAGAAATGCTGGAAAGCAGACGGTGGCTTTGAGCAATTCGTGAGCGAGACACCACATCAAAAACGCAGATGTTTGATTTATCAGGATAGCGTTCACTTGGATCCATAACGGAATCTGTTGGGATCCTTGGACGACGTGAAATGAGATAGATTCAGCCGGCCAGACTTTCTCTCTGACACCCAGTCAGGATGAATGGTGAAGTGTCCTCTAACTGGAGCTGTAGTGGACTAAAAGTTAAGAAAAAAAATATGAGGCAATCTATTTATTCATTCCATATTTGAAAAATATATTATTTGTTCATAATAATTTCCCCACATACATGCAGTTGTTGTGGATATATTATCATGAAAGGTCTTTTAGTATAAAAAAGCAAATGTCTCAAGAAGTTTTATTCAAAATCGCACTCCGTTTGTTGAAAAGAAAAGGGATACGAACAACAAATAATATTCTCTCTCTCTCTCTCATGCACGACCCGCTTACCTGAAAATGACTCCCAGGATGCATATAGTCTCCATTGCCTCCTGCAGGACGGAAATATTTGCCTGCCATAGGACTCTCATCATAACCACTGTGATACCCTGGGCCCATCGCAGACTCAAACCTAAGAATAACAACAAAATACATTAAATAATAATAATAATAATATTGATTCAGTTTCTCTTTCGCAATTTCTCACAACATTGAAGAACAGCAGAGAACATGGACCACACAACGTGCATCATTCACAGGGGGGGGGGTGGGGGGGGATCAAAACCAGCACCTCTTCCGTAACCTATTCTCCACCAGCACACTTATCAAAGTACCTGCTGTACCCTATCCCGTAACCTGTGCTGTACCCAGGTCTGCTGTACCCGCCTGAGTTACCACGGTAATCGTACCCTATGGGCGTGGTCCAGTTATAGTTCCCTGCCTCCGGGTCTCTCCAATCCTGACCGGGGAACATGGACTGTCCTAGACCGTAAAACTCCGGAGCACTGTGCGGATACAATTATAATCAAGTAAAGCAGCAAGTAAATGGCAACCGTGTCCTTGATAAATTCGACTCAATTAGCAGCTGGTTGTAATTTTATCGCACATTATGTCAGATTTACATATACGTTTCTTAAGGTTTTAATGATTGACTGCTTGATTAATTTTGTCAACACAACTTTGGTATGAAATCTTGTGTCAGCCTAGCAACCCGTTATCAACAGGTTAATTAAAAGTGAATTCGTTTTTTAGACAAAAAATGATAAACACCTCTAACTGGTAACGGCTAAAAAGCCTCTTATCATACAAAAGATTATCAGTGAATTAGTATTTGTGTTTTACAATAAGATATAATGGTAACGCGTAAAGTTTAAGAGCTATTTAAACAAAATTGAATCTTGCCATAATCCTGCCATTATTGTATCCGCACAGTCTCAGCTAAGACAAAACTCGACGACGCCAAATTCCTGTCTTGTGACTCCTGTGCCTTTCGCAGATCACTATGGTGTTACTCCACAACGGGCGACTCTTTTGTATCCCGTTCTCGTTAATTATTCATCGTTACGTGATTAAGTATCGAATCCCAATAAGAGTCTTTCATGGTGTTAAACATCAAAAGTGCAGTTCGATTATTTATTCATCTGATTGATCAGCGAAACAATCGTTCAGCGTTGCTATGTGCCCTAGAGATTTATTCAGATTGGCTTTGATACTGTCGTGTATTTCTTTTTTTTTTTTCAAAACATGGCCTTTGTATTATTCTGTGTCCTTTTTGTTTTTTGTTTATACAGACTACTCTTACCTGTTACAATGCCCATCTGTGCGAACATACATACATATATCTTAATTCAACTTGGGTATGTGCTCATTATTCATATTATATTTTCCCTTATAAAGTGCGATCTCCGTACATTCATACACCATTTAATAAATAGTGTGACACTATTTGGATATGAAATCCGTGTGCATGTGTAGGGGCCTAGATCTATATGTTATACTTATTCGTTTCTAAGATAACAGATCTGTATACAAGAACCGACTACACTAAGGACATGCAGTAGACAGTGGGAATACGACAAACATTTGAACTAAAATATACAATTAAAAAAATTGAAAGAAAAAAAAAAAAAAACACGAGGTTGTTGTAATCTGATAATTCCCCTCCACAAAGACGGAAGTCAATATCAGTTCAAATGTAAGCAATCAGAAAGTGTGGTAATCACCAGACGAAAATAATCAATCAGTGAAACTGAATAAAATCAATAATCGATCACATGCAGAGTACCAAACCGCCACCATAACAAATCACTTCAAAAACAAGGACAGGTAAAGTTTATTTCCAGGATTTTACTTACCAAGATAAACAAGCACCAGCTCCACTGAACGCAAGAAAAGTTCAAGACATGTTAGAATTAGTAGTTCAAAACACCCCGTGAACTGGAGCAGTTATAAAACTGCATGTCAGCAAAAATACAATTAGTGGCTTAGTTAGAATACACATAGGCCTACCTCGGCATAAGATGTGGCACCGACCCATGTTCTCTGACAAAGGCAATGATATCATATAAAATGTGAAAAGCACCTTGATCTAATGTATAGTTAAACACGAACGGATTAGTTGCATTGGCCGAAATCTTTGATTTTAGTTTCGCCGCTAACTATGGCCATGGTAGTAATTTTAATAAGAATATAATCCGTCTTTCTTTTTCATACTTACTGTTGCAGAGATTTGAAAGTGTTGTTGATCATCCGCCTCTCTTGGTTTATGGGGTGTTCGTACATTGGGGCAGCAGACTTTGTGGAGCGTCTGGGTAGCTGTCCTAGCTGCCTTGTTGGGGATGTCGTTCTAACTCGTAGCGACCGTGCGTGAGACGCAGCCATGCCGTCGCGTGGTTGAAACATTTCTACTGGCACCGGTGATTCTGAGAAACAAGATATGTTTTCTTATATTTTACATTGTCTATTCAACTTGATTAATTTTACTTCGTTTTTTTCCCATCTGTAAGGCACGATCAAAATAAACGAATGTTATTCAATATCGGGATAAAAGGTTAAAGTACTTGAAATCCAATATTTTCACTAAGAAAACTTGTTTCTATTTAAAGGTTTAACTATGTATTCTACAATACCAGTTTTGGAATATTTTAACTTACCTCTGTATTTACTATCGTGATATGATCGGAAATTAACGTTTGTTAAAACTTTTGGCCCAAGAGCTCTTTCGTCAATCTGAAGAAGAATACAAAAAAATGACTTCACATTTTTATCTGCGATTTTTGCAATTGCTTGCATTTCCTGTCTTTATTATTTACGCTGAAAAGGTATGTCAATGTGCATTTCAACGAAATTATTCTAGGGATGTCTGTTAGCAATAATTGTGACAGGTAGAAAATTACTCGCATAGAAAGACAAAATGAAAATACAGAGATAGTGGGAAATCATGATTACACCATCCCTACCTCTTGTGTATTAGGAGGGAAGTTGGGTCCAGGTTCTGGAGTGCCAAAAACCTCGGTAGCTGTGGGTCCTAATGCTTTGGGTGGTGGGGTGCAATAGGGTATGACAGGGGTAGGGGTTTGTCCTGGTGGGTGAGCTGATGCCCGTGAGAATGAACGACTAGCCGGTCGGGGTGTGGCGGGTACACCACCTCTACTTGCTGGTGTGCGGAGCCGGGGAGTTAAACCTCGCGCTGAGGCCGGTGGAGCGGGTGTGGAGGAGGGTTTAGGGGTGCCGCGCTGTTGCCACACTGACCAGTGTGTCTCCTGAGGGGTCTGTCTGGATTTGGATAGAGGACGGCCGGTGTCTGCGGGCAGACCTGCTAATGCTGGCGAAGGCGCTGTGACGTCCGAGGGAAAACCGTGGTCCTCTGCTGGGAGAGGTGAGGATACGCTACCGCCTCCGAGATCTCCAAGATCGATGTCTGGAGAGGGAGTTCGGACAGAACCGCTGCCAAGGCCTGCAGTGCCTGTGAAAAAGAACAAAATGTGTTTTTTACAATAGGTATAGACTAGAATATATAGTTGTGACTTTTAACTAGTTACTTTAAAAAAATAGGCCTACTCAAAGCTATTTTCTGTTCTTTTCAAAAAAATCTTAATCTGGAAAAACTCTCAAGAAAATTTACTTGTTATTTTGAACACATAAAGAAACATCTAATTAGTTCACAAGAAGGATTTGTTTAAGAATATTGACCTATAGAAAATTGCTTAAAATGCAAAAATGAGCCCACTCCTTTTCGCGGGTCGCATTCCCAGACGCAACAAAAGAGTCGTAGCAACCAAGTTGCATAACAGTAGCGCATGGTCTTAAAGAAATACGTTTGAGTCTCCCCTTAAAGCAATTAACAGTCGCAGAATTGGCAACTGCACTAAAATTTAAGATTTTTTTCAATTTACATGTTATTTATATACTCTCTATAGTGGCTAGGCATAATTTTGAGTCATTGCAAAATCTAAGAATCCATGAGTACACCGTACGAAATGGTGGCTGCAAGCCACTACACTGGCTAGAAATCAAACGGATTGGTATTTTGAAGTGTCTTCAATAACCATGTCTGTTGCATCACTTGTAAATCAAAACACATAAAACACAGTGGAAAACGCATTGATTAAAGCACGGACGTGCGAAATAGGATCTCCGCCATAGGAAAATATTGAATAAGGCTATCCGTGCGTCCTTAGCAACGGGGTTCACTGAGCACCTGAAAGTCGTGCTTTGTAGGCCTGAATACAGCGTAGTAGGGTTAGCTAGTATCCGTGCGATGCAAAATTCTTACCTTTGTCGAATTTCTTCGGAAAAGCGTGAGTGATTATCTGCGGCTTCAAGATCGACTTGAAGTTCGACTTCGGCAGTATATATACCCGTCGTAACTGGCCCATACCGCGTGGAGACTCTATTACTTAACAATTGCGATATTTGCTGCTATTTACCAGATTGAATGCTTAAGTGCATAGTTCAACCTCCAATTTGCTTAAGCAAGCTGCATGCTCAATTTTTCAAACATAAAAGAGTTTTGTTCCAAGTGTTTAGAACCGCACTCCACTGACGTAGGACTGATCGCAGAAGGGGTATTCACAAACTGTGCGTGATTTATCGAAATACAATCAAAGGTATTGAATCGTCAACATTTCAGAATGAGGTCATGAGATTTCAATTAGCACCGCTGGTTACGCTGGTGCGTGACAGGTGAATTTGGATGTTTTTAAAACAGGGGGTTGTGATCTTTCTACTTTCTAGACCTTCTTCACAAGTAAGGAATGGCTTTCCGTCCCTTTCTGTTTCGATTTTCATAACAGTCCTTGGCTTTATTCCATTCACTCTCTCTGTTTATGTGTTTACTCTTTGTTATTGACATTGTTTATCCAGCTCAAGTTGTTTATTTCGTTTTGAAGTTAGTTGGTACGTCACAATGGAATGTGCTTATTTCTGTTCTCAACCATTTCCATCATCAAAGATTGAATGATGTATCTTCAAACAATGATATGATTAGCGATTATGATATAATCACATCGATTGTGATTTATGTAGTTATTTGGAAATGAATGAACTAGCAAGTAAAACCGGCAATGGGAGGGGGGTTGACGGTTGTTGAATTATAAAAACACACCCTACTTAAACTAATATTCATTTTGATTTTGTAATTCACATTTACATTTGCTTTGGCATCGCTGTTTTAGATGGTCAGTTAAGATGGGTTAGTAGTTTCTATGGCTACACTACTATAATATTTTCTTACTCTGTGATGGGGCTCTTTTTAGACACGATGCGTACTTCTTCCTTTGTTTACCCATGTATGCATCGACAATATCAGCATGCTGGATTGCTGTAATAGAATGAAATCAAAAACGAAAATGCACATTAAAAGAACAAAATCAAACAAATTAAACAAAAATGATGAAATATATAAATCGAACAAATAAACGCAAATATGATAATGCAGAGGTAACGTATTGTTAAGTCCGTGTGTGTGTGTGTGTGTGTGTGTGTGTGTGTGTGTGTGTGTGTGTGTGTGTGTGTGTGTGTGTGTGTGAAGAGAGAGAGAGAGAGAGAGAGAGAGAGAGAGAGGAGGTAGCAGGATGGAGGAGCGAGTCCGATATCTAAAATGACCATGCTTTATAAATTATCAATCATTATCACGGCTGGTATATAGTTTGTCTCATAAAGGTTAGACTTCTGACAGTCACAGAGAAAATTTAACCTGTAGCAGTCTACCAGTGAAACTACATATTACGTATGTCAATAAAGCGAAGGATTTTATGATCAAATTACCTGCTGATTAACAGGCCTACTTAACGCTGACCCTCTTCTGAATTATTGATATCAAGAACACTGTCCCAACGCGTTAAAATCGATACCCTGATTATTGGAGGGACGTATCAAAGACGCCAAGGGCAACAACATGTGTTTCTCCCTTGTTTATATGTTTATTTTAACGTATGGTAGTGTGATGTGCACCAGATGACTCTTATTATTCACCTGACGGTCTTTGACATTTCTTCCTTTTTTTAATTTCAAATATTAATCTTTTTATGCTTGCAGATAAGGATATTATCGATATTTTCCCGTACATTCTGCTGAAATCTCTACCATTAGCGCTGAAATGTGATGTTCTGTCTAGTGATGGGTTCAGAAACCTATTACAGGTTTTCATCAGCCATAGCAGTACTAATATGTGTTCTGTTGTGCGTTCAACACATGAAAACAGCAAATGTCTTCGTTTTATTCAATAGAAAACTGTAGCTGCTATTGAAACCCTTTCTTATAGGCTCCCGCCTTAAGGACTGCAGGAGTACTCTTCCCTCTATTTACCAAATGAACATCTTCCACTGCTCAGCTAGAAGCACAATACTCTGCTTATTCCTCGTCACGCACTTCGTATGTAGCCATCCCTAAGAGGTCTCTTTACGGCTAAGAGCCATTGTGTTGTATAATATAACAGAGGATTGAGGTTTAATTCAGTGCTTGTTAACAGTTGTCAGACCACTCAGCTTTCATGAACCTAACGTATAAACTTGTTCGTGGGAAACGCCGTCCTTACCGTTGTTGTCGTTATTTTGAGAACATGAAAAAGTTGGTTTATCGTACTATGTGAATTTCAAATATTAAACGACTGGATGAAAATCTGCCAACCTGCCATAACGATATTCAGCAATTTAGAAAATATCTAGGGTTTTTGTATTCGTACATGTAGCTGATATTTCTATTTTCATAAAAAAGGGGTTTTAAAAACTTTGAAAAAAAAAAGACCTATATTTGAAGATGGACAATTACAAATAAAGATGACTCTGTAAAAATTTACATTGACATCAAAAATATATCACGGATAATAGAAGACATTTTAAGAATATACGTATAGTGTGTCATCCCGTTTTAAGGCGGTATTATGTTTATTCGAAAACTTGAACCGAATTGACATTGTGGTATAGATAACAAAATGTTGATTCACAAAACCCATTATATGTTGAACATGGACCCGATAGACCGCATTTCCTTAATTTTAACACGGTTTTCTTTACTGAATTTGAAATGATAAGACTTTGAATAGTTTTAACTGTTTATTTTTATACATTGCCAGTTAAAACAAAATGATTTGACAAGACAGTAAAACGAATTCAGTCCCAAACAAAATTTTAAAAATTAATCTGTTAATCATAATGATAAAAGAACATAGTGAAAACGACGCATCTTTCTTACCTTCCAACCCAAATAAGTCCGGCGACATACAGTTCTCATACATATTGCCGAATGTTGATCTGTTAGAAGGCTCTGATATTCTTTCTATACAAATATGGTGTCTTCTCTGTACGCTATCACTACAATAATACCCAATGAATGTATTGACTCCACGTGGTTCATTATAAACAATGTGTTCTTTGCTTTTCGCCCATAGCAACAGCCTAATTAAGTCACGGATGGAGCATCACGGTCGTTCGATAAGGAATAACATTTTATTGTCATCGCTGAAGTTCATATGTGAACGGGCGTCACAATTCTCTTTCTGACCGCATAATAAAATTTTATGACTAAGTCAACAAGATAAATCCACTTGTAATTTCTAGCCTCCTTTTCGCGAAAAAAGTATGGTGAGTATTAACTTTTAACCCGTAGCTTTATTGATCATTGGCGTCAGCGATCGAAATGTTGTTCGTTTTATTGTAACCAAGTGTGGTATTGGCATATTACAGTTGACTCTTGCTGTTATGATATGGGGTTTTGTTAATAGAGATTTCACAATTTATCTCGTTAGCATGGGAATGAGAGGTTTAATCATTTTGATATTTTTAATTGATAAATCACATATCAGTTACACCTCTCCAATAATGATAATTTTTTTTTTTTTGGGGGGGGGGGCTATTGCATGTTTTGAATAATAATCTGTGCATTTGTCAACTCTTAACACAATATAATTATTATTATAAAACCAAGCAAAATTGTATTAATCAATATTCTTTCCCAGCTATTGGTTTAAATATGGATTACAGGTAAGTACAGGTGGATTTTTAAAGGAGACAGAAAGACAGTCAGAGAAACGAGGAATAAAACATGAAATCCTTATATTAACGACTATGCAGTGTGCGTGTGTGTGTGTGTGTGTGTGTGTGTGTGTTTTCTTTTTTTTTAATATCAGTGATATGAAATTGGGATCCAAAATAAGAAATAAATCGAAAAAATACAATGAGAATGTCGAGTTAATAAGCATAATGGTAGGGTGTGAGGTTTGCTGTCACGAATGCGTTAGATAAGCCGGCGCAATCACAAGAGCGTCGGTACGTTTCATTTCTTACCTGGTTTGGGCTGTGGTTTCATTGCAGTACTTGTGATCATTAAATCAGTGCGTCCTTGCACCGTATTATCCTTTCCCCCTTGGGTTGGCGTCTTCTTGCCCATGTTTTTAGCGCTGTCTTTTTGCTGTTTATAGTTGATGCTGTCCATATATTGCTTGACTGCTAAACGCACTTGGTCTTCAGCTTTCTTTATCATTGCATCCTTACTTCTTTTGTCGACTTCCCTGATGTCCTTAGAATCTGTTAACCCTGTTTGTCCTTGCGCCTCTCTTTCACCCTAAAATACATCTTCTAACATTAAGGCATATATAACGATAACACTGGCACATTCTCATGTCGATCGTTACTTTTAGTAAATGTGGTATGGTTCAGTTTTACTAACAGTATTCCAGTGCCTTAATTATACCAGTATATTTCATTTTCGATTTAAGATGTTTTTTCTGTACTCTCAGAATTAAAACACCTGTCCAAGATTTATACATTTTTTATTATTATTATAGGCCTGCTCTTCCGTTAGGTAAGTTTTCTGAGTTAGTCTTACCCTTTGACCGGGGACAAAAATTAATTTCGATGAAAACCAGTTTAACAAAATAAACGGTTTGACCTAAGGGATATCATACACACGCAAAAGTAAAAATTAATTAAGTGGTATTTTCTGTAAAGAATAGCTTTTTAATATTTTGTTTACATCCATGTTTCATCTAATTCTTACATACGAACAAATACTCAATTTTGAAATTGAGGAAATCTACTAACTTACCAAAGTTCTAAATTTTCTCAAATATTTGTATTAATTAAAAACATATCTTCCCAGTGAAATGCACATCATTCAAAAACACCATAAAGAACGTCACAATTCAGTCTTTTAGGTGGACTTGTAGACTATTCTGTTTTTCATTGTGAGAGTTACAAAAACACATCCACAATTGCAGCGCACCAAATTAGCAATAACATATTTGGTTAACATTTTTTATTTATTCACCGTCTTTGTGCAAGCCCTGTGTTAAACGGCAGTCTACATTGTCACCCAGTCTACTTCAGTTTGGTGACAGCTTATGTCATTGTTATTTCTATAAAGGGTGTGGACTTGTAATCACACATGAAATGTGAAAAGGATGAAAATTTATTTGACGAACGAGCCGAGGTGAAGAAAGGTAAACAAAATGCACGCAGGGTGCCATTTCCATGACGCCAATAAAGTACAACACAAGTAATTGACTGTCATATTATGTGGGTTATCGATCCTGGCGCAACTACATGGCATCAGCCTTTCATAAGATCGTTGTGAAAAATATATCTCTTCCTTAAAATCAAAACTGACAATTCCATTTTTTCCAATGGTTAATGAATCCATTTTTACATTCAAAGTTAGTTCCTGTTTTTTTCTAAAAAGTTTTTTTTGTTATAATCTCTTAAGAGATTATAACAGAGTGTAGCAATTAATGGAGATCACGTGGTCTAAAGACAAGATCAGATATCAGAATAATATTATAACTATAACTGCCGTTTTTCTTGTACAACAGAATATATTATATTTCTACGAGTTGTTCACAATGTTTTTATTGTGAAATATAGATCTCATACGGAGAGTTATTATCCCTTTAATCATTTATTTGGACTTTAATATAATGTCTGTAAAAAGATCTAGGAATAACTGTTTCCATTCAAAAAAAATTATTATTGAATGCTTTGAATTGCTGTAGCTAACAGCCAAACCATTTTAAAGCACAGACAGCCTGTGTGTAATTTCAAACGGAGGATTAACCGACCCACCTCTTATCCTGATAAATTACAGAATAATTTGAAAGTTTAAATCAGCTTTGTCAAGTAAAGAACTATGTCAGACAAACCAGCATAGGTAATCATAGTTGAGTAATTTGATAGTTTTGACATTTTCTAAACAAACTATAGGTTCTGTCGTTAACGCTTAAATCTGATAATTAAGACTGTGTAGGCTACAGGCCTGGCAGACTCATTATCAAAACTTTCACTCTTTTCAGAATGGAAGATTGTATAAGAATAATAATTCTATCATCCTGTCGCAGAGACTTTAATATTTTATAACACTAAGCTGGTTTCTACCGCTACCGGTGTATATACATGTACATGTATATGCTAACACAAAGGCTTAGTGTCGCCATTGGTATTACATTAAATGTTAAACGTGAGCTATATCAGACGCGTCTCAAGCCCCACCTGTATTCTCCTTGCCTCTTCTGAAACCGGCATCTCTTCCCAAGGGCCTCTGTGCATCTTGTACGGTTTCTTTGGCTGCCTTATCTGTAGGATCATCTCACGAATCTTCCCTTTCAGTGCCTGCTTTCTTCCTTCATAGTCTATGGCACCCATGCCGGAGATATTTTCCCCACAATACTGTTGCTGATAGGTTGTGTTCGGCGTCAGCTTGAACTGATCTATCTCTGGGTACGGTGCTGCCGGCATCTCGGCGATCGCAGTAGCCATTTTTCTTCTCTAAGATAGAGATACTAGTACCAAAAAAACATTGATTAAAACCCACCGTATCCAATTATCGAAGATCGACAATCGTTTGTTCTCTTCAAAGCGTGTATTATTAGTTAGGGCACTTGAACACGGATACCCTGGTCCTAGTATTGTTCATCTGATTACACCCAAGTAAAATCCTGATCCAAACCGAAAATTCCACAATGAAAACACTGAGAACCCTTAGCGACTGATCATCTCCTTTCTCAACTGACGACTCGTGTACTTTCTGCCATTAGCAACAAGATGGCGGTATAAACGTAAACTTTGACCTTGCATCACTAAGGAAAGACGCAGCTTGAATAAATGTTTGTATTTGTACGCGTTATCGATCGTGAACTGTAGGGCGCTTATAACAGTTAAATCGGCGTTATTTGTCGTCTTTATGTCATTTATTTAGACTACTGCTTTATCGACTTTTGATACTGTGTATGTACGCTGTTACAATTTTCAGTAAATCGAATAGTTGTTTCGATAGAAAACATTCCATTATAAAGGTGTTAAAGAGGATTGCTAGTGTAACCCTATACAAAGAGTTTAATAGGCCATTTGAATTATTACACCCGAAGTATTAACGGCCTTTTTCTGAGATTTCTTTTAGCAAACTAGGTTAAAATCACTTGGGAACTTGAATCAAATATCTCTTTACCAAGACAATTCTTACTAAAGACAACGCAATTAGCTTAATCATTGGTAGGGGGGCTATTGCACAATTGTCTTCTTAATACTACTAAAACGAAGGGAAAGGCGACCAAAACATACGCGCTAAGGCATTTTCAGCCCATTTATTGGATTAAAAGTGCAAGTGAAATAACCCTTTCTGTAATCAAGGGTTTACAACCATTCTTCAGAAACGGTCGGTTACATGCTCAATATAATTTCTTGGAAGTATAGATTTTGATTTGCATGACATATTTTTACATAATTTGTTTTTATATGTTATTAACTAAATTATTCGATTTAAACGAACATTGATGATTTGTAAACTTTTCACTCCTGATAGACACACCGATACATGCATTGTCACGAGTCAACTGTTGAAAACGAGCAAGGGCCCTGTAGCTTTTATTGTACAAATAACTGAAAACACATGTGAACAACAAGATCCAAAATATTATGGTCTATACACACCATTAAACGTCTGATAGCTGAATGGGTAATGACTAAAACGTTCTCTAGTATAAGACACACAAGGTCTGATTGTATGTTTATACATGTTCCATCTTCCTGTAGGCCTATGTATTATGGATTTCACTTTCTCTATTTACTTATTGGGTAATGCGTGTTGCACTGTACTCGTATATGTTTTAACATCTTATTCAGTTTCATAATAAATATTTTAAACAGACAATCTGGCTTTTCCTTTCCCTCTGCTTATCTCAAGCAAACACATTGGCCAGGGAAGTAATAAATGCGAAGTGCTCGACGCACCTCATTAATTCAATACCTGGAAAACATCGCAGCTTCTGGCAAGACACTAGTCAAATTAATGACGCTCCGTGGTGAGCACAGCAAATGAAAAACGTTTTAAAACATTATGAGAAGGTTAAAGACAAACCGTTATGATTAAAACATTTTATGTAAAGTATAATTGTTATATTAATGTATAGATATATATACCTTATGCAGAAACCAGGTAGATATATGGAAACCAGGTGATGAAAATGTTCACCCATATTAATTTTCTGATGTTTTAAGAGGAACGTGTTAATAAGGTTTATTATCTTTTTTGTTAATATACTAAAATAAGATACACATTCTTATAAATATAAAAACATGGAGTATGAATATTACAATAAAGTTGTAAATAAAATTAGTGGACAGCACTCTTATATACAATCCTTAATCAAAATAAAAATGATATAGCACAAAGAGGCCCATAAATGAGTATTCTTAAGGTATACGAGTAGTACTGAGTGTACAGGTTTTAATTTTATCACATATTGTAAAAAACTGACAGGGATGAAAACCTGATGATTAAGTCTGTGTAATTGCTTACGTTACAGATAAACTTTGCTAAAAATCTCATGCGAATTTTCATCAAATAATAATAATAATAATAATAAATGATGATAGAGAGGAGGAACATTGTCCTCTTTTTTAACGATCGAGTGATGGAAAGTTGTTCCATTTGAGCAAATCAAGCATAAGTCGTATAAGTAGGCCTACATCACAAAAACAATTGTAATTATGGACGGAAATTGAAAGGCAGGGCATGTCTAATAACTGTTCACAGGAAAATTTGTTTGCGATTTACATTGGATATGCAAAGAATTTTGTGCGTTCAAAGTGCAATACTTGTTTTGAGGAGGTATAGCACACAGGTGTGACAACACGTAATCCGCATACCTCCTATAGTTTTTAGAGGTTTATCTCTATACCTTATTTTAAATGTCACCTTAACACAAGGACACATCCAGCTTTCAATTTTGGCACCGGTGGATATTCAATCGGTAAGGAATGATGGCTTCAGGATGATTTCATTAAATATCTGAATGGTTACACATTCAAGACCGCTTTTTCCTTTCTTTTTTGTCTTTTTTCTTTTCCTTCTTTTCCTTCTTATGAAGGTCACCAATGTCGTCAAATTCCAGGTCTTTGTCTTTTGATTTATGTTTACTGCTACGGTGTTTTTTCTTATCCTTGCCCCCGTTCATTAATGCGGCGATTTTAACGAAGTTCTGTAAATCTGACATTTTCAGCACTTCTTTCTTTTTTCTGAAAAAAAAAGAAGCAATCAAACTGTGAAAACGTGTGAGTCGCGTTAAGTGTATTCACAAAGAAACTGTCATCTCTATCAAATATCAAAATAGAACAAAAAGAAAAAATATAATATAATATAATGCTTAGACTATATCATATTTTCAATCAAAATACCAAAAAAGATCAACATTAGTCTTACTTATCAAATCACATCTTAACGACAATATCAGAAACAAATGGCCCATTATATTTCAGAACCAACGGACTGTTTTTACATTTGAATTTAATCAAAAGCGGGTCTATACTGACTTGTGCTTCTTTTTCTGATCTTCATTTGTCAGATCATACTTGGCCTTTCTTCCTCCCCCAACATCATGTTCAATCGCTCTGCAATATTAAAAGATGCATTTGAAGTCAAATTTTCCCAGTTTTTTTTCTTTTGCAAAATATAACTTTAAAATCAATACATGTAATTGTAGATGACAACCACTTCTTTTAATACAATTCAACGTAAATATTCTGTTCAAAATGTATACTAGTTTAATGAACTATTTTTTAAAAATTAATAGTAGGTTCTAAAATGTTATTTGTCACAGCATAAATGATGCGGTCAATTTATACAACTTTTATGTTAAAATGCGGTCTGGTACATTACAGAATAATACGTATTGTAAAGCAGAAATGTACAGTGCTTAATAACAGGTATTGTGTGCGATATCTTTTCTATTGTAAACAACTGTTACGAAAACATAATAATGCTCCTCCTGCCGCTACATTGCATGGTGTAATCTACTATGAAGTACCCTGCAATGTGCTTTTTGTAATACAGCAGTGCTGATTTCGTGTGCGCTATACTTTTGCTATTGGTAGTTACTGTTAAGGACCGGATGGTTGTCACACAACCTAGACTGTGCTACTGTAATGAGTTTTAATTGTGTGTTTGTAACGTTTATGTATTTGTATGTTGTATTGTCTTCCGCAATAAAAAAATTATACAACTTACCCTTTGTCTGTGTAAGGCTTGACGGTAGGACTGGAGCCTGCAGGTAGCATTGCTGAAAATATCATATTGATCACTTTACAAGACCGTGTCTCATAGCTTTGTGGAGCACTACCGGTAATACTTGTACAACGCAATAAATCAACGAAGAAACAAAACAATTGAACCCTGTAATATATTATGCAGACGAGTGGCTGTTTGCATAAACAGTCCGATAACAGGAGGTACATCACTGGTGAGTGATTATAATTCCCCTCGATATACATTAATATCGAAAAACAGACACTTCGCTGGCAGTAACCATGGAGAACAGACATTGGAAAGTAGACTCGTGCGTGTACAATTATTACTACCCACCAGGCCTTGGTAATTCGGGAATTTTCCCACAAGAGACTTTACATTTGATCAAAACACAAATCTAGTGATATATACAGTAAAGGTCACATGTCACGTAATAATTGTACATGGCAGTTATTTCTCATATCTAGGTAACATTAACACCGTTATTTCAATTATTTTATTGTGAATTACTACCCACCTTCTTTTACCCGACGGCAACACGGGCATAACCATATGCTGAGAACAATAATCAGGATAATAAGTATGACACCGACGACAATACCAACCACCATTATACCAATTCCGATTGGGGGTAGTCCAGGTGGAGTCGCTGTTGTCGGTGGGCTAGATGTCACTGTTCCAGAAGCAAACACCATGGTGTCGTTAACGCTGAGACAAAACTGGGACATCACTTCATTGTTGTCATTACTGTCCCGACACCTGTAACAGCCAGTGTCGCCAGTGGTGACACTTGGAAACTCTAATGCTGCTTTTTCTGTCATCAGTGTCTCCGATCCCATGCCAACCTTGTACCATTTGAGCCCTGTGGCATCACTGTTTAAAGACTGGCAGTGAAGAACGTGATCTCCTCCAGTCTTGAAGGTCAGCTTCAATGCCGTGTCGATATCTGTAATTCACAGAAAGCATGAATATTGAAATAGCTCTACGTGTTCAATAACTTAAAAAATCAGACTATTCTCTGTTTGTTTTGCTTTTTAAAGTACCCTGTAAATTTAAACTAATGTATACCAATTCTACCCGCTACACGTTATCTACATAACCTGTTTCACATACCAATTGTCGATGGAATCGCAGTGGTTGTTGTTGTCGTAACAGGGGCTGAGGTCGCTACAAGTACAAGACACACGAAAAAAAAATTATCGTTTCAACATATTCTTCCATCATATGATAATATAAGAGTATTTTTTTAATTAATCGGATCATGTTATTCGCATGATTTGAATCTTATTCCATATTACTTTGTTTTTTCGTTTGGAACTTGTTTTGTTCTAATGTACTGGTGAGCTCTTACTTTCTATAATAACATATGTCATGTCAGCAGCTTGAATCGTGGTTCCGTCAGTTGCAGACAACGTGAAACTGTTGCCGGAGACAGCGCTGTACAAAGAGGTCATGACCTCGGTCTGATTCGCTTCTGAGGAACCCGATGCAGCGGGCAGAAGGTCAAAAACAACAACAATGCTACCTAAAAGTAAAAAGAAAAATGAAATTGGATTTTTAAAAAATTAAATGGAGCAAGTTTTGACAATGAAGTGAAGCGTTTGTTACATTTTCATGATACGTGACATGTGCCATTCAGATATATTTTAAGTTATATTTTAGTTTCTTAATCATAGATAAGAGCAAGGGTATTTTGCATATACCGGCATATATTGTGTTTCAAAACCAACATACATGTACCTCTAGAGGGGAGTCTATTTAGCCTCCCGATGCATTTCTTAAATCCTGAGTGTTCAATATCTCAGCACCTGGGTCATATCCTATTGGCACATTTGGGACGAAGAAAGTTATGCACTACCTCCTTTTATAGAATGCCAAGACTCACCTACCAAGTACCTATTCAAAGTACTTTCTGATTTGGAGTTCACACCCACTTACCCGGCTGCACATCCAAGTTTATAATACGGCCTTCAGCCACATTCAGTTTGGTGGCCATTTGCTGTTTCATGCTTGTAACTGTGGCAGTCTTGTCGTTGCCAACTAAAGTGCTATAGTCCCCAGTGAAAGTGACTGTGACACCCACAGTAGCTTGATCGGGTATTTGAATAACAACTGAAGAATAACAGGACAAAAGATTATACATTCACAGATCAGTAGTGAACATTAATTGAACGGTAGGAATATAATATCTCAATGGTGTACGACACAATGAATACAATGAATCAACACCTTTATATGTTATAATTAGATGCCTTTGTTACTGTACATCTCACCGTACTAAATTGGATGTAAAAAAAATAAATAAATTAAACCATATCCTCTGATAAAAACTTTAATGTTCATACCTGCAGTGGTTGTCGTGGTGGTTGGGGTGGTAGTGGTGGTTGGGGTGGTAGTAGTAGTAGTAGTAGTGGTTGGCGTGGTTGTGGTGGTTGGGGTGGAAGTGGTAGTAGTTGTAGTAGTGGTTGTGGTGGTTGGGGTGGAAGTGGTAGTAGTAGTAGTGGTTGGCGTGGTTGTGGTGGTTGGGGTTGTGGTAGTGGGGGTTGATGTCGTCGTCTGTGTCCCTAAATAAAAAAAGATTTACCTTTAGATTTCACCAGTGAAAGTTTTTTATCACTTCAGCTCAATTACATATGAGGAAATATAACACAGCTTTACTTCTTAGTGAATTTTGAATTGCAATGAAATGGACGATTTCAAAAATTAGGATCATTTGTACCTTGGATGCCATGATCACGACACCTACCGTTTCTTATTTGGACTTCAACTGCGTGGAAATATCGATTATTCACTGTAAAGGTGTAAGTTCCATTCACATCTGGCCATGTATTTTCATCATCAGGAAGATTATAAGAGAATTCGGTGTTGTATTGAGAATTGTATGCAAAACTTATGATGTCGCTCTTTTTTCCATAACCCCATCCATAGAAAGAACCAGCAGAAACCCAAGGCTTGGGATCAGGTATATATTTCTGAAAAATATGAAAAATACTTTTAACACACTGTCTTTAAACCAACGCATGCTACAGCAAATCGACCTCATTCCGAGGCAATTGAAGAAGTAAGAAGTCGGAGAGGTCGCTCGATATACATATCAGCTGCATAGTATTTGGCGACTCTTTTCACAACAAACTCATTGTAAATCTCAGGAAGACAATTACCGTAAATTTTCCACTCGTTGTCGGTAACGAAGCGTCAATGTAATATTCCAGTTTAAACATGGTGTCACTAGCAGTTCTACTCCAAATGAAAAACCTGACGGGCGTTGCAGAGCCTGTGTTGGTATGCACGAAGACAGAGAAACTCAGCAATTCTCCCTCCGGTAAAGGTGTCCCTGTCTCCACGAATGCTTTGCGGGTTGAAACTGATGGCTGATAATATTGCAGTCCCGAAGCGTCACCTGATAAAATTTTTGCATATAAATCAAATTTTATACAAAATATCAAATGGAAATACCGGTTATTAGGAGACTTTATAATAATTTACAAACAGAAATTGAAATGAAAGTTATGTGCGCTGCAAATTAACTTCCAAAGACATACCGATTGTTACCACGTTGTCCATATCTGGGGTGCTAATGGCTGCGGTAGTAGTGGTTGGCGTGGTGGTTGTTGTTAGGGTGGTAGTTGTTGGCGTGGTAGTGGTTGGCGTGGTGGTTGTTGTTGGGGTGGTAGTAGTTGGCGTGGTCGTGGTTGGCGTGGTGGTTGTTGTTAGGGTGGTAGTAGGTGGCGTGGTCGTGGTTGGCGTGGTGGTTGTTGTTTGAGTGGTAGTAGTTGGCGTGAAAGTGGTTGGCGTGGTAGTGGTCGTGGTGGTGCTGGGAGTTGTTGTTGTCGTCTGTGTTCCTAAAAGACAAAAATGATTGATCTTAAGATTTGGGCAGTTAAAGTTTTTGTCACTGTCAACTCAATAACAAATTGTATAAAAAAACAACTTTTCTAGTAAACGAATTTAAAATAATTCCTACATCAAACGTGAAGGTTTCAAAGATTTGGATCAATTGGATGCCATGATCACGACACCTACCGTTTCTTATTTGGACCTCAACTGCGTGGAAGTATCGGTTATTCAATGAAAAGGTGTAACTTCCATTTACGTCTGGCCATGTATTTTCATCATCAGGAAGATTATATGAGAATTCAGTGTTGTATTTAGAATTATATGCAAAACTTATGATGTCACTCTTTTTTCCATAACCCCATCCATAGAAAGAACCAGCAGAAACCCAGGGCTTGGGATCAGGTATATATTTCTGAAAAATACGATAAAATATTTTAACACATTAGGCTTTAAACCAACGCATGCTACAGCAAATCGATCGTTCCAAGGCAATTGAAAAAGTAAGAAGTCGGAGAGGTCGCTTAATAAACATATCAGCAGTATAGTATTTGGCGACTCTTTTCACAACAAACTCATTGTAAATCCCAGGAAGACAATTACCGTAAATTTTCCACTCGTTGTCGGTAACGAAGCGTCAATGTAATAGTCCAGTTTAAACATGGTGTCACTAGCAGTTCCACTCCAAATGAAAAACCTGACGGGCGTTGCAGAGCCTGTGTTGGTATGCACGAAGACAGAGAAACCCAGCAG